TGAAAGGAAAGAAAAATAAAAGTGGTTTTATTTTCAAAATGTTGATTATGACGGTGGGAATATCGACATTTTATCACATCACATGCTCGGATTACTTCATACAATGTATCGAAACTATGTTATGCTTATCGGGTGTAGAAATTGAAATAAATAATATTTTCTAAAGCAAAATGAAACACTCCCACAATAACAACTGGTTTATCATTTCTTATTTTCGTTCACTGTTTTACATGTACGCTGTCGACCTTCTGGTGCCCTTCATTATAAAATATTTGGCACAGTATACATGTATTAAAGCTTATAAATCATATACATTTATAGACGATTTTTGCATATTATGTATAAGCAGTCTCATTATTTCGTCTCTTTGTCATTTCCTTACTTCAATATACACAAGTAAGGGTTTTAAATATCTCTTCTAACTTGCACTTACTTATCGATTTGGGACAAAGTTGATCCAAGTACATATTTTCAAGATTCGAAACTTAGACCCCTTTCCCATAGATTTTAAATCGATTTATCCCTGTGGGGAGTCTCACTAGATTACTGTCAGCTTAGCCAGCTTAAGCGTCTGTCCCGCCTACTAAAAGCTGTAAGGGGGTAATAAACTATGGTGCGCGCTCGGCTGACTGCAGTTAATTTAGCTTGAACCCCCAGGGAGTTAGGTCGATCTAAATCTAAATCTCTGGCTCGATCTTAATCTCTGGGAATGCACCCCTAGAGATGATAAAACTGCAAAGACTGCATGGATCTCAGATCACTTACGTTACAGGAACAGGATTATTTGAAAGGGGGGGTCAGGGTTTAGGAATGTGTGTGTGCGTGTGTGTGTGTGTGTGTGTGTGTGTTATTATAAAGGCACACATAAGATATCGTTTTATATTTTTTACAACATCAAGCGCGGCACTATTTGTACATACAGAATGTACTTAGTATGTGACACGTAATCCTCCAACAGCTAACAATGTATGCAATCTGCACAAAACAAACATACGTCTGCGCATACGTTTAATGGTTTTAATGGTAGTCAAAACAGCTTCGACATCTATAACAAAAAAATGTTCGCTTGCTATTATCAGTGCAATCTTCAAAACACTTCGACACTGCGTGGTAAATAAAATACTTTTGTCGTCGGGGGATTGTTAGCTAAAGGGGCACCCCCCTTCTCACTAGCACGATCAAGACATTTTAATTAAGATGTGAGTTTTGGATTCTTGTTGGGGGTGGTCGGCTCATGCCCTAGTTAGATTCCACTTTACCAAAATAACACGATTCAGAGCTGGGCCTCTGAGGACGTGTATTTTGACAGCGCCCTTTGCATGGTTGAGAGCGACTTTTTGAGTGTGTAAGGCTTCTCGCCTTTATTATGAGGAAAGATCGTCTCTGATAGGAAGGTAGGTGTCTCACCTACATAGTAGCCTATGAGATTTGTAGATACCGATCTTGTCATAGGGTGCCCTGAAAAGGGCATTTCGTGATTGGCACGATCGAGGCGTCTCGCCTTTCGAGGGAGGGGGGAGGGTGGACTGGTTGCAGTTTCTATTATGGAAATAAAAAAAGGAGTGGTTTGAATTCTCGATGATACGCATGCGCCACTGAGAATAGCAACAGCCTGTAGACGGGGTGTGACTATGGCTTCGTTCACATGCAATGTCTATTTTCTAAATTCTATTTTCTATTTGCGGCATGTCTTATGATCACGGTCTGTGCACTGAATATCCCGCCGCGTAATTACTGGCAGCGCGAGCCAGTTACTATAAGTTACTATAAGTAACTGGCTCTCGCTGCCAGTAATTACGCGGCGGGATATTCAGTGCACAGACCGTGATCATAAGATAGCGCGAATAGAAAATAGAATTTAGAAAATAGACATTGCATGTGAATGAAGCCTATATCTTACCGATCCAGCATATGTTTATGTACACATTTCAAGACTGCAAAATTAATCATGATATAAGTGTAGTGTAGATACGTTATGAATCTCTGATACTTGACGTTGTCACTGTAGCAGTTTCACAATATATAAAAATCCCCTTTATCAATGAACTTACCGTTTTTTAGGCTCCAGAAGAGATGTGCCAACGTGCTGACCTGTATGCAACTGTGTGAAAAAGAAACGATCAATAATCCGCTTTATCTGCATATGCAGATATGTGTCGACGTGTTGACCTGTATGCAATGAAACGAAATGGTTGAGCTCAAGGGGACTGTCAGTTGAGAGGTTGCCAAAAGATTGCAAGGCAGTGTGACTGTCAGGATTAGCCAGAAATTCATTATTATTATTATTATTATTATTATTGTTGTTGTTGTTGTTAGAATCTTACCGATGACGTTATAGTTGTGAAAGTAGGTATTTTTTCTTACATCAAGAGCTTTAATTTACTATTTCAGACTGATTGTATTCGCCGATGACAACACTGAACATACCATACATTTTTGAATTGTGATATTTTATATTAAACACAACCAAAGCACTAAAAAGCTGCGATAACAACAACAAAAAAATCCATCAGCGTGTTTATTGAAATAAGAAATAAGGGGAATCCCCTTCTCTTCCTATATCTTAATTTAGACGCAGGGCTTGGATACCGTAGGTTCAGCAGTGTCTAAATTTAGACGCAGGGCTTGGATACCGTAGGTTCAGCAGCTGAAAAAGTAAAAATGATTCAAATGAGATATAAGGGGAATCCCCTTTTGCATTTGCATGCAATGGTAAGTCTGAATTTAGATGCGGGTCTTGGATACCGAAGGTGGGGAATCTGAAAAAGTCAAGACATAACACGGCAGCAAAGGACAAATATCATACTGGGCTTGATAAAATACAAGATGCGTTTATAACACGGTAGTGTTACAAATTTTAGTAAGAATTTAATTTAGGTTTTAAAAAACATTTAAAATTCATTAGTTACAATAAGATTGCAAAAACAACATAAGTCTCATTAGACGTTCAAGCACTGACCAAACATAATAACCTTCCGATCTCAGGCCAGCGAATGAGTGCCGTAATTAATGACCTCTAGTGGTCGGCAAACGCGTCAATTAAATTGCAAGCAGAGGACAGAGCAACAGCAGATATATATAGAAAGATTTAATTGATTATCTCTTGGTGTCATGTATTAGTATTTAATAAGCACTTCGCTAGTTCAGGAAAATGACCAGTTCCGGTTCTGTCAAAATTAAATATTAAGAATCAAAGAACCGGGCAAATCACACTATTTAAATCGAAGGTCTAGAATCAGTATTTCTAATAATTAAGTAAATGTTGAATCAAAAATGTCCATCCTTGACGTGAGATGTGAACCACCTGTCGCCCTAATTTTGTTATAAAAATGCAGCATTTTGCCGCATTCGGGGTGTTCGGTAAATGTTCTGCGAGTCGGGAAAGTAGTAGCATAGGAAGGAGTAACTGAGGGAGAGACGTTGTGGTCACATCTTCAACTTGATGTAGTCCGTGTGCGCAGAATAAAATTCCTTTTAGAGGAAAAAGAGAGTTGTTTATAACTTTACAGTGACGCGCTTTTATCACACGTAAAAGCCCCCGTCACACGTTGTTTTCCTATCTACATGTATAAATGTATGTGAGGACAGTTCCAACAACGTTTCACCAAATAGACAAGTGGCCATAGACAAGTACACTAGACTATCGTCATACATTAATCTACAATTTACTTTGTTTTATTGCATTAAAATGCATTTAGTTTCATTTAAAAAAAAACAAGTATAAGATGACACCAAGCCACTCTCTTGGTCTTGCAGCTTACACAGCCTCCAAGCTAAGTCAAAGAGGAGACAACAAATACCAGTATGAGGTCGGGTGTTTGCTGTCACTAAAGAACTGCTTCAGTCATTGCTACACCTACGCGTCTCGCGAGAGAAGGGTTCGATTATTTCGGAAAGGCAGAAGTGCGCTGTTATAGCTGTTATATAGTGATAAAAAAAATGGAAGATGGGGGACAACCCTTTTCAGAAACACTCAGCGCTATCTCCTCATTGTTTACATGTATTTGGGAGAGATGTAAACATTGTCCCGATGAGTACAGAGCGACGTCGTCCTCACAGCACTCGTTCCCTGAAACACGTGTATACGTGAAAAATATACTGCTCCATTTACCCGAAAAAACTCCCTAACCTTTGCCAGTGCAATAAATCCCCTTGACATTGTCCGTGAAAAATCAATAACGAACAAAATGATTTTAGCGTGAGTGAAACAGAGAGGGGATTCCCCTTTCCACCCTTTCCCATACGGATCCTCAGTTTTGTTACACCGGCACCGTGCTGGTAGGAGAATGTCCATACAAACACGGTGCCGGTGTAACGAAACAGAGGATCGGTATTAAACAGAAATGGTTAAGGTTAGCTTGACCTGAGTAGGTCAAAATCTAGAAAGAGGCTTACCTGCACAAATAAAAGGAAGCGGACTCTCTAATGGGGGACTCTCTGTCACGTTACACCGGGTCGATAAAAGGGGTGAGTCAGCACTGTACTAATTTACGAATGTAGGCTTAGTAATTCGTTCTGTTTAACACTATGATACGTTACTGCTTGGACAAATTACGAACTCGTAATATGTCTACGGTTACTGTAAAGGGCAGACAGCCTTACACCCCTTGCTTAATGTAGGCCTACTTAGTACAACCCGCCAACAGTCATAGGTATATAGTGCCACTGAGAGTAAATAGTAAATTAACACAGCGACATCACGGTTAATGAAGTTAGAAAAAGTTAGTTGTGCGAAACAGGACATAAAATTGTAAGTTTCTTATTTTGCTCATATTTTTTCTCAGCTGCCATGCTGCATTGTCATCGTTAAATTTAGATTTGGAGGTGGTAAATTTGTTTTTGAATATATATTGTGTTTTTATAGGAGTTTAGATGTTGTATTATTTGAAATGCAGGATAGTTAATAACGCTAAAGACTGTGTGCTTATTAATTCATAAGAGGATATTTTTCGGAGTTATGAAGGATGAAACGCATTTCGTAATTTTCTTTTAGAATTCCCATGTCGGAGATGACATCAAGCCCTTCCCTTGGCCTCACAGCTTACACAGCCTCCAAGCTAAGTCAGAGAGGAGACCACAATGAGTACAAGTTTGAGGTCGGGCGTTTGCTGTCCTTTAAGACCTGGCCGTCTGTTTCATCTAGTGCTCACCCTACACGTCTCGCGAGAGCAGGGTTCTATTATATGGGAAGAGGGGAAGAAGTGCGCTGTTATAGCTGTAATGTACTGATAAAAGACTGGAAGTTAGGAGACAATCCTTTTCAGAGACACTCAGCGCTATCTCCACATTGTTTACATATACTTGGACAAGATGAAAACAACGTCCCAATTACTGCACCGACCGATGACAAAACGACTTCATCCACACAGCAGATACGCGCTGCAACTGATGTACTAGGCAGCAGGCGTCCATTGCCTTCTCTATCGCAGTCCACAACACAATCCCGACCTCAACCAAGAAGTACAGGCCTGGATGAGCCAGACAACGCCACCACGGCTGCTAACAATACTACGCCACTAAGTAGACAGTCTCCAAGTCCAGTTCCTCTCCAGAGTCATCTTAACCATCAAGACAGCTCTCATGCTGATTCTATGCGAGACGAACTTACAAGACTGGCGACTTTTCAAAGGTGAGTAATATTGTCTCGCTTTGCTACAAAATCCTTCAACATGTATTGAAAATCAAGCTGACTCCCCGGCATTTTTTTCCATCGAGTCAGTCTCCACCTGATACTGTATTTTTTGCTGAGCTATGAAGGGGGATGATCCAAGCTGGGGATCTGCTAAAAAAATCACTACAAATATTCACTCCTATGTCATTGAAAGACTTAGCAATTATCACTTTCTGGCATGCACAATATATTATTAATAAAGCGAGTAACTTTCATACTGATCTCGATATTATAGACGACTCTACAGAAGAGATGCGGATGAGAGGAAGATGGAGAGAAGGATAATTTTTTTTTATTGTAATTAGTTTTATATACAGGGTGCCTTTGCTTTACTTACATGTATGTCTTAATATTTATAAGCAAGAAATAAGGCCTTGTGCTTTTTTCTGAATATCACTTATCCTAGTTAATAATTTTCAGTTCTAACACGATAAGGAAAATCGCTGTTTTTTATATATAATTCATTCTTCGAAATATTTTACATTTTTATCTTTGTATTTCAAACTGTTGATATAATTCTAATTAAAAAACCCGTTTACCACTTACCTAGCTGAGAAAAAAGTTATGCAATTATTGCAAAATTTTAATATATTTTTGTATACTTGGTTATATATTTATTGATAATTCATAGCGAATGCGAGTAGATGTAAAGCAAATAAATGTTTTAGGGTTGTTTCCTCGCTTTCTTCATTTTCAATTTTGCCATTTCAAACCCTCTATTCCTTTTATTCCAGTTTTCCAACCACGTGTCCTGTTAGACCGGAAGACCTCGCTAGAGCCGGCTTCTTCTACGTGAATGTTGACGACATGGTTAAGTGTGCCTTCTGTGACGGAATGATCAGAAACTGGGAGAGAAGTGACCACGCCTTTGACGAACACGCCAGACACTTCCTTAATTGTGCTTTTGTGAAATTTCATTCAAAGTTAGTTAGCCATTCTAATGTTGATCGAAGTGATTTTTGCATGAATATTTTGGATAAGTTGAACTCTTTATTAAGAGGGTTAGGGGATTCTATCTGTGGTCTACATTGTAAAAAATGAAAGAAGATACACCGTCATGTATATAGCTGCCCCATGTCTATGTACCATCGTCTGTAGTAACTTTCATTATTTTTAATTGAAAAATTGTCGTTGTAATTTTAAAAAGACCACACAGTTGTGTAATATGTAATTTAATTGAATTCTCAATCTGGTTTAAATGTTAGAGATTAAGTAAAAATTTTTAATTTAAAACAGCAGTTTTCATGTAATGTATATGCAAATGCTTTAAATCTTTATATTTATTAGCAATAAGTTATTTTGTGCCAAGCGCAATTAAAATGTCACAATGTTGGCTGTGAACCAAGTGAATTTTTCAAATAAAATATCCTAATATTTAAAATCACTCTCTCTGTCCATCTCTCCAAGTGGTAAACATTTTCTCGTCAATCAGCATAAAAAAAGAGCAGCACAGCATAACTGCTAAGGTGTTACAATAAAGTTTTCTTACTTTCTCATATCACCGTGTGCCAGTCGTGAAGTGAAGTGCTCAAATAAATATAATAGAGGCCATTATTGCTCAATTTTGAAAGAAATCTTATCCACTAGTTTAAGTGTCCATTTAGCTGCTTTTGAGAGAAAGGGGAGAATGGGTTGCGTATATGAATGCAGGTTTCTTTTAACATCAAGTGCTGCACAAATGTAGGCTGACTATACATGTATTTACCTACAAGCGCTAGCCAACACACCTTACATTGTTTTCTCTCTGGGCTTACAATACCATTGTGCACGTATTGAATGGCGACTTCACCAAAGCAACTACGTAAACAAAACAACAACAGAAAAATCCCCCGAAAGTACAAAAACGATAAATAGGTTAATACGTAGGCTTAGAATAGATTTCCAAATTTAGATGCTGGCCTTTGATACTGAAGTTGCATATTCTGTTTCAGATATAACATAATGCACTGCAGAAAGGAAGAAATGTGCGTCAATTATCGAACAGGTAGTTCTGGGTCTGTGCATAACAGTACGCTGACTTCACATGGAAGGCTTTATTGATAATCATTGTAGTGAAGCAATAATTGTATTTACAATCGTTTAATTGATTGGTGTCCAATAGAGAAAGTAGTTAATTGAATATTTTCATCTATGGAGACCATAAGTGGGAATGTACTGTATGTATACGATTTTTAACGTTGTTGTTATTGTATAAAAGAAAAATACACTCACGCACGAACACATTCACAGTTACAGTTTATACCGTAGGTATTTATACAATTAACCGTATTTTTATCAGCAAACTTTACACAATGAGAAAGTATCTCTATGTTGTTTTGCTCTTGGGCGAATATTATCAGTCAATGTTTTGATGAATTTGTGTCAGGAATACTTAAAGCCGTCAGAGAGTCAAATTTTAATGACGTCTGTCGTATGGTGCTGCAATATATTGATTTTATTTTCAAGTCATAATCCCCACCTGACTATCCAAGACCCTTACCTAAACTTAAAAACACCACACGGGAGCGAAAGGGGATTCCCCTTGTATTTTTAAACTAATACGTCGAATTTTATGGAGGGAGTATTGTTGTTGTTGAGATTGCGAATACACCATATATAGTATAATAAAAATGTATGTACGTGATATCGTGATATACAGAATAACTACTTTTTTAAATAACCGTAGTGTACTCAGAATATAACATTATGCAAGTGTAGCACAGACGCACGAGCACACACTGAGTATTAAGTCGTCACGTAAACTATGTATTTCAATCTCTAAATAGATTTGGGGACAAATCAGTGAAAGGCATCACGAAGACTTTTTATTTACATGCAGATCAACACGTTGACACATATTTTCAATCATCTTCCTCACACACAAAAAATCTAAAACATATTACCATTACAGTTTTAAACGGGTTATTATTTTCAATTATGGAAATGAGTCTGTAATTCAAGAAATAGTAAGTATTATTCAAATATAAAACTTTCTGCACGAACGTCATCAGTCATTAAATATGTTTCATTGTACCTTTGCTCATTGCTATGCAAAGTTTCTGATTTTAATTAGTTATGTGTGAGAGGTAAAATTGGAAGAATTTACCACTAAATTAATCATTCCAAAAACTTTTTCACAGTGCCGCTAATAGCACTCCTGCAGATGGGGACCGCGCTCTTGACGAACATGCCAGACTCTTCCCGCGGTTTAATTTCGTGAAATTTTATTTATAGTAAGTTGTAATCCCAATTTTGATCAAAACAATAACGTAGCTTGTACATGTACAAGCTCTGAATAAGGATTCGAAGTGCTGTATTTACATGTGCCAGTGCCCGTATATGTACAAATGCTGTGTACCTTGATATTCATCAGCAATAAATTATTCTATGCGCAGTTGAAATTAGTTATTTATGTCATGACATTTGTTATGTTATTTATGTTATGAACCAAAATAATTTCAATGAAAATATTTATCTTCATTACATGTACTATTGGGTTCATACATGTACCTATTCTCTGTGAAATATGTTAATTTTAGTGGTAACTGCAATTGAAATTATTTCCAATGTTTAATGTTTTTTATAAATGGTGTATAACTTAGGAACAAAATATATTGTAATGTTAATAACTAGAATGATGCAAAACGATTGCATTTGATTAAACTTGACAATAATGGCATTCTTAAGTTGCTGTTTAGATTGTCCAGTAAACAGCATAAAAAAGGGATAATTTCACAATATTGTTTATTTACTCATTTTATTACATCTCTATTCAAACATGGATCACTTTCTACCACCCGCATTTCATTCTCTCTCTCTCTCTCTCTCTCTCTCTCTCTCTGTCATAGCGATGCATTTATTTGATAATTAAGCATCGAAAATAAGAGCAGTATTGTGTCATTCTTCTGCACATCACACCGGTAGCTGTCTAGGTGTTACATTTGAGCTCTTCTCCATATCACCATTTACATTGGCAAGTGAGCACTGCTCAAATTAAAATACCGCAGGAAAGCAAACAGGAATCTTGCACAATTTTGAAAAAAAAAAAATAAAGATATGCTATCTCTCCATTTAGCTGGTTTTGTGAGAGAGTGGACGGGGTTTACGTGACCCTGTTTGTTGTTGTCCATTCGTTCCAAACATGAACTTAATAACACCCGTGTATCTAAAAATAACTTTGTTTGCGTTAAGTAAATATTTAAACGGTATGCTCGATAATCATGTTACATACATGTATCACGACCTCCAAAGCAGCGTTCCATAGACACACACTATGACCACTATTAACACGGCACCTGCAACCATCCAAGGAACGCTCCCGTGAATAAACCCCCATACTATAGCTGCAATGCTTAGTCCTATCAGTATGAAACCAAGCAATACACAACAACACGACCCTAACTTTTTGTCACTTGTAGAAGTCGTCACCAAAGGAGAGCTATCCGATTTCTCCGCACAGTGATCTAATTCCATGTTTGACTTTCAGGAAGATATCTAAAATATGTTGTTTACAAAGGGTTTAATTTAAGCTCGACGCGCTCCAATGCAACGTTGCAAAGAATAGAGTACATGAACTGTGGAGAAAGATTGTCTACCACCGTCCTACTGCAGTTTTATTTCGCAGCATTGAATATACAACTATAGTACATGTATGTTTAGTCACCCGATCCCATAAAGCGATCTCTGGTAGAAGTCCTTACATTTACTGTAACTGTCTTTTTAAGGAAACATTCTCTCATTCACAACAGAAAGACCTCCGACGTATAACCCTTGCGTGGTATAATGAAGACAAGGAATATTGTGAGTCACACATTTTAAAAATAACATTTTGTTTTCGTTATACATGTATTAAACCAAGTGCTGTGCGTTTCAAGAGAGATTGCATTCCTCCAGCGACTAGCATTACATTGTATGTACTCTGCACAAAACATCCCCTTGCTCATACATCTAATGGTTACTATACAAACCCAAATTAAACAAAACCAGAAAAGTTTCGACATCATCAACAAAAACCCCTTGGCATTACCAGTGCAATAATTCTTTTAGAATATCCGTAAACAAAATAAATGCGTCGTCAGGGGATGTGAGACAAAAGGGGATCTCCCTTCCCACCAACACAAGACACCTGAATTGACATGTGAGCTTTTCATTTATTATTAAAAGGAATCGAATAGCAAGTAAAGGAAATGAAAACATGTACATGCATGTACGCATGCACAATGACATTTACCTTGGTGTTAACAATTATATGAAAGTCGATTCGCCCACAATACTACATGTACATGTAGTAGGCCTACATGTACTTCCACCTATGGACCGGACATTGTAATATAATATTTTCAAGATTTCACGATACGTTATGATCTCTGACGCCTTATGTTGACAATGTCACAGTTTCACAGCAAATAATTTCTTATGAACAATGAACTCACCGCTATTTCTGGCGCCTGAACAGATGTGTCAGCGTTTTGTTCTGTATGCAGACAGCTTCGACAAAAAAAATGCATCGACGTTTTTATTCAAATAAGAAATAAGGGGAATCCCCTCGACTTGCTATGTCTAAAATTAGATGCTGGACTTGGATACTGCACAGGTAGGCGCAGCAGCTGACAAGCTAAAATTGATTCAAATAAGGAGGATCCCCTTTTCCATTTTCCTTTTTCCATGTACTAGTACGTCTAAAATTAGATACGGGCCTTGGAAACCGAAGATGCGGAATCTGAAAAAGTGAAAATATACTGGTAACAAGGCAGCAAACAAACAAATATCATGCCGGGCTTGTTAAATACAAGTTGCGTTGTTTCCCTATAAACATATGTAAGGGAAGTTCCAGCAGTGGTTTACCAAATAGACGGGTGTTCATGGTATGAGACACATGTACACTAGACTATCGTCGTACATAAATCTACAAGACGATTATACGATAAGTTGTAAAACGCATTTTATAGTTTCATTTGAAAAAAGTCCAATGTTACACAGCCTCCAAGCTAAGTGAAAGAGGAGACCGCAAGGAGTACAAGTTTGAGGTGGGGCGTTTACTTTCTTTTAAGACATGGCCGTCTGCTGCCACAAACGCGTCACCTTCATGCCTCGCGAGAGCAGGATTCTATTATATTGGAAAGGCGGAAGAAACGTGCTGTTATAGCTGTAACGTAGTGATAAAAGACTGGGAGATTGGAGACAACCCTTTTACAAAACACGCAGCGCTATCTCCACTTTGTTTACATGTACTTGGTAAAGATGTAAATAACGTCCCGATTACTGCACCGACCATAAACAGAGCGGCATCATCTACACAGCACGCGTGCCGTGAGGCTGAAGTCTCGCCTGCTGTACCAAACCAGCTCTACCGTGATTTCAACTCAAAAGGCTTAGACATGAAGAATGAAATAACGAGACTCGGGACCTTCAAAGGGTAAGTGTTGTGAACATATGTAATGTCACTTGGAGTACTCGTGTATATGTTACCTCCATTACCTAAATCCCGTCCATTCCTCTTGAATATTTTACCATTGCGGCTTAAGTGATTGGCTTGTATCATTTTATCGTGGGAATGACATATCGTGTCCATTATTAAACAACTATTGAGTATAAGACCAATTTAAAACGTCCAATAGGTACTTAAACAGTCATCTAGTACAGTGTATGTTATATTGCACTCTTTAAAATGCTGCAAAATATATAATATAATTTCTTGCATTACTATGCAATGTTTCTAATTTTCGTAAGTAATGTGTAAGTTGAAAAATTGGAAGGTTTTTTCCACTATAATGATCATGTCAAAAACGCTTTTACAGTGCCACTAATAGCACTCCTGCAGATAGGGCAATATTGGAAAGTGCGGGCGCGCACGTGGTACAACACACGAGGTGGGCACACGGCAACATAACAACACACTGTCCGGAACCGCGCAAAATTTAGCTATGAATCAAATTTAGAAATTGACACCGTTAAAAAAAATTTAGGTTGGATAACGGGTTAATACCACCTTCAAGATTCGTGGTCATATTATTTACGTGTAAATCGCTATGAGGAAATCCCAACGCTGACAACAATAACCAGTTTAAATCATTTAATGTTCATTCGTCGTTTGCTCAGGTACATTCTAACGTTATGTGGAGAGTTACACTCTTTAGTATCTAACCAAGACAGTGGCTTCATGAACTTCTTAATTCATGGTTTCATAATCAGAGTAGTAATTTGTGTTTAAATTAAAAAGTTATTACTTAACTTGCCTATGAATTATTAAATGTCTCCGACAACACGCGTTCTTATCCGTGTTTCTTGTAACTTCAGCAATGTTATTTTCTTAAATCATTATTTTATTTTAAAAATAGAAAACGTATTCTACATTTCGAGTCATGCACTGGCAACTTTAACGTGAACGTCGACGAAATTGTGAAGTGTGCCTTCTGTGACGGAATGATCAGAAACTCGGAGAGAGGGGACCGCGCCTTTGACGAACACGCCAGACACTTCCTTAAGGACATTGTAACCCTTTATTATCATCCACATACCGAAAATGAGCTTTTTCCTGCACCTGAAAAAATATAAAATATCGACGTGTATATTGCAATGTTTTTAAAAGCATGGGCAACTCAAAACTTAAATCGTCAATTTAACACCTTTCTATTTTGAGGAGAGATGGCAATCGGTATGGGGTGTAACTTTATCCCTGAACAAGATTTTATCACAAAAATTAGCAGAGTTGCCCATGGCCGTATATGCTACAATCCCGTGTCGTCATTTTGGTTTGCATGTTTGGTATGGAGAGATTTTCATTAAATAAAGGCATTATTTTGCTTTTTCAAAGATAAAATCTGATCTTAGACCTTAAGGAAAAATTGCTGACAGGGTTGTGGAGTACTAAATCGTGTGATTAAATCTGCGTTGAAACGGTGATCGTGGGTGGTCAGGGAAAAGAGAAATTTGAGAAACCGATTTTTCAGTTTTTACCCCTATACCGCAATTATGACGTCACCCGTTAGATGACATGCGTACAAATGTTAAGCAATTTCGTCACTGAACACTGAATATTTACTTGTTACCCAAAGGAATATATGCAAGGCAGTAAATAAGGAGTTTTGGGCGAAGGATGACAACAGCCTTCATCTCTTCTTTGTACAACAGGGCTGGCGCAATACAGAGTCTAACAATAACCCTCAGGTCTAACTTAAGTATTTTTCTTTCAACATATCAAGAGGTGTATGAACCCAAAATAATGTTACTAGCGATTTATCGATTTGCTATTTTCACGATTTTACACCAAATATTCCTTTAATTCCAGTTTTCCCGCCACGTGCCCTGTTCGACCGGCAGACCTCGCTCGAGCTGGCTTCTTCTACGTGAACGTGACGAAAGTATTTTTCTTTCAACACATCAAGAGGTGTATGAACCCAAAATAATGTTTCTAGCGATTTATCGATTTGCTATTTTCACGATTTTACACCAAATATTCCTTTAATTCCAGTTTTCCCGCCACGTGCCCTGTTCGACCGGCAGACCTCGCTCGAGCTGGCTTCTTCTACGTGAACGTTGACGACATGGTGAAATGCGCCATCTGTGACGGAATGATCAGAAACTGGGAGAGAGGGGACCGAGCCTTTGACGAACACGCCAGACACTTCCCACAGTGTACTTTTGTGAAATTTTATTTAAAGTTAGATAGCGTAGTATGAGCAGAAAGATGCGGTCTGAATCATAATATTTGTTTCTTATTGGCCCAGAAAAAAACACGACTTTATAAATGATGGGTTTCTTTGCACCCCGCGGCGTGACCCCATCCGCGTACCGAGTCTATTGAAAAATCCCAAACACAAGATGAATTAACATTAAAAAACATCTCCTTCGAATTTGTCTTGCATGAAATTTAGATTCGTTTTGCTATTTCATAAGAGGGTTAGAGAATTCTATCTGTGGTCTCCGTTAAAAAAAATAAAGAAGATACACCATCAGGTTCTAGGTTCTATCTTCTATATGTGTGGTACATTTCGTTATTTCTCATTTCAAAAGTGTAGTTGTTTTAAAAGTCCTTGCAGCTGTGTAAGATGTACTTTAATCAAATTCTTTAACTGGATTAAATGCGTTTGACTTCATTATGTAAGTGATTACGTAAATTTCTCATTTTGTGCCAAACGAGAAATAACTTGTTAATGTTACGACAAGGATCACTGAAAACCAAGTGGATCTTCAAATGAAATATACCAATATTGAAAATCACTTCCATTGTGTGCGAAATATGTACATAATCATTTAGCAACTGCCAGTGGTAGTTAAAATTGGAAATGCTTGGTTTTGTAAATAGTTTATATTTACTGAATAAATTGTTATACTTTTGGCTTGAATGATTTGAAACAATATCACTTGATTAAAATAGACAATAATAGCATTCTTCATTTGTTACTATTTGTCTTAATTAACAAATATAAAAATAGGGAATTTTCATTTGTTGTTAATTCGTACCCCTTGTTCTCGGAGGCCGATGATACGCAAACGTAGGCTACATAATCGGTAAGAGGCATCTTAGCATTAATTATTCTATGCACAGTTGAAATAAGTTATATATATCATGACATTTGTTATGTTATTTATGCTATGAATCAAAAACAATTTCAATCAAAATATTTATTTTCATTATTAATACATGTACTTTTGGGTATATACATGTACCTTTTCTCTGTGAAATGTTTTGATTTTAGTGGTAACTGCAATTGAAATTATTAGCAATGTTTAATGTTTTTATAAAGGGTGTATAAATTAAGAACAAAATATATTGTAATGTTAATAACTAGAATGATGCAAAAGGATTTGATTAAACTTAACAATAATGGCATTCTTAAGTTGCTGTTTAGATTGTCCAGCATAAAACGACATAATTTCACAATATTTTTATTTGCTCATTTTTATTACATGTTTATTCAAACATGGATCACTTTCTACCACCAGTATTTCATTTTCTCTCTCTCTCTCATAGCAGTCAATTTATTTCATAATTCTTTGTTTGACAATAAGCATCGAAAATAAGAGCAATATTGTGTCGTTCTTCTGCACAACTCACCGATAGCGGTCCAGGTGTTACATTAGAGCTCTCCTCTATATCACCATTAACATTGGCAAGTGAGCACTGCTCAAATTAAATACCGAATGAAAGCAAACAAGAATCTTACACAATTCTGAAAAAAATAGAGATATTCTATCTCTCCATTTAGCTGGCTTTGCGAGAGAGGGGAAGGGGTTTACGTGACCCTGTTTGTTGCTGTCCATTCTTTCCAGACATGAACTTAATAACACCCGTGTATCTAAAAATAACTTTGTCTGCGTAAAGTAAATTCTTAAACGGTATGCTTGATAATCATGTCACATACATGTATCACGACCTCCAAAGCAGCGTTCCATAGACACACACTATGACCACTATTAACACGGCACCTGCAACCATCCAAGGAACGCTCCCGTGAATAAACCCCCATACTATAGCTGCAATGCTTAGTCCTATCAGTATAAATCCAAGCAATACACAACAACACGACCCTAACTTTTTGTCACTTGTAGAAGTCGTCACCAAAGGAGAGCTATCCGATTCCTCCGCACAGTGATCTAGTTCCATATTCGCTTTTCAGGAAGATGCCTAAAATATTTATTTTGTTTTCAAAGAGTTATTTTAAGCTCGACGTGCTCCAATGCAAAGCTGTAAAGAATAGAGTACATGTACTGTGGAGAAAGATTGTCCACCACCGTTCTATTGCAGTTTTATTTCCCAGCATTGGATGTACAACTATAGTACATGTATGCTTAGTCACCCGATCCCATAAAGCGATCTCTGGTAGAAGTCCTTACATTTACTGTAACTGTCTTTTTAAGGAAACATTCTCTCATTCACAACAGACGCCTTCCCAAGAAAGACCTCCGACGGATTCCAACAAAAGTCTTAGCTTCATTTTTCAAAAATCCTGAGAAATAATGCTTGCAAGATTTCTTATGTTTACAGCAGAGTAACAGCAGTCCTTTTGGTACGGATTTTTATGCTTCTTTACCAGAATTTTTTTCCTTGTAAAATATCCAGTTGTGCCTCCCCTTTACATCATTGTTCGAATGGGATTTGTTTATCGTTTATCTCCACATATGAAATACTTTGTCTGGGACTAGTGTACTGGTATCAGAACATCAACTACCGGTATGTTAGTTTAGTCATATTGTGTGTTTATCATTTTAATCCTTGCTATATCTCTGCGAAACTTGTAAGGTCCCTAAGCGATCTGAAAAAAGAAAACAACTCAATTAATTTCTAAGAAAAGGGTTAATTAATCTATAAACGGTGAAACAAAAATAAATCAATATCTCTTACTTGATCGGTAAGTAGACAGAGTAGATTAAATTTATGGTCATGATCAGACATATTTTGTTTGACATGGGTTATTTTTATTGGGCCATTTACCTTTATAACATGCTGTGTGAGGGCTGTGATATCTACGTGGATATTTATGATGCAGGACACCTAATCTGGAAGAGAAACAATCATTGATTCATCAGCTAGATAATCAGAAAAACAGACTGATTTTCTCTATATGCTCTCTAATTGAATAAATTTACTAAAATTGTTAAAATGAGAATTAATTGTAATAATGCAGGGGTTGAACGAGCAGAATTTCAGTGCATCCGCCAGGCGGCCGACCATTATCTACTAGTACGCTTGATAAACAGTTCATGTTACATATTTACACATAATATACAGGCCGTGTAATTTGTCACCCCTTAAATTGTCGTGTTTTAATACATTTCAAATCCGTTGATGTAAAACATTTTTGGTCCAGACAGCCATTTTGTGTTGATTTCTGATATCACGTAACTAGTAATTTAAGATTGTCAAATAGTACATTGTATCAATATAACTAAGTTCACTAACAGGAAGCAAAGCTCTATCAACGTATCAATAAACTGAAGATGAAAATACATATATCCTTCTACTGGTAGACTATTTAGGCTTTAATTATGTCATCACGACACACACACAGATCGCTACTGATACTTATCTCACTCAAAACACTATATACATGGAATTGATAACATGCAAAATACCGTTAATGAACATCAGCTAGGATTGTAGTACCTGCTTGTAAAGTCACGTGATACAGCGTCAGGTGACAATGGACTGGAAAAATTCACGCATTCTGTTTTGTTGTTGTTGGAATGCTTTTGTTGCGACACGTGTTATATGCAAGGTCATCTCAGCTGATTCTAGACGCCTGAGAGTTCGCATTGTATGGAAATAAAAGCAGTGGAAAACTTAGGAACTGCAATTGTATTTAGTTTGTATTTTGTCTACCTTGTTAGGCCTCAGATATTATTACATGTAGCCAGTGGCTTGTCATTTGTTTTTTTATTATTATTTCATTTAATTCATTTGTATCTAATATTTATATATCTATTTAAGTTTCTGTCCATTAAGCTGCTATTGTGAGAGAGTTGAAGGGGTTGCTTTCCCTTGGTTGCCGTTTTCCATACTCTCCAAATATAAACTAAAACAGGCACGTAGCCAGCAGTTCCAAAGGGGGGTTCTTTTTCTGAAAAAGTGGACCTTTTGCCATAAAAACTTCATGTACCAAGATAAAATTTTACTCAGAACGGACCTTTTCCCAGCAAAAAGGGCGGTTCTTTTGAACCCCCGAACTCCCCCCCCCTCCCGGCTACTGGCCTGTAAAATAACACTCATGTGTTTGAAAGTAACTTGGAATTTTGTTTGCGTTAAGTAAAGGCTTCAAGGCATCCCTATCGGTATACTCGATAATCATGTCACATATCACGCCCTACAAAGCATTGCATAGACACAAAATATGACCACAATTAACACGGCACCTGCAACAACTCAGGGTACATTCCCGTGAATAAACTGCAAAATACTGAAATAGCTGCAATGCTTAGTCCTATCAGTATAAATCAAAGCAATACACAACAACACGACATTGACTTTTTGTCATTTTTAGAAGTCGTCACCAAAGGAGAGCTATCCGATTCCTCCGTAGAGTGATCTAGTTCCATATTCGCTTTTCAGGAAGATGCCTAAAATATTTATTTTGTTTTCATAGGGCAAAGTTGCAAAGAATAGAGTACTGCGTCGAAAGATTGTCTACCACCGTTCTTCTGCAGTTTTATTTCGCAGCAGCGAATATACAACCGTAGTATGTTTAGTCATCCGATCCCATAAAACGATCTCTGGTAGAAGTCCTTACATTTACTTTAACCGTCTTTTAAGGAAACATTCTCTCATTCACAACAGACGCCTTCCCATGAAAGACCTCCGACGGATTTTGACAAGAGTCTTAGCACCATTTTTCAATAGTCCTCAGAAAAATGTTAGCCAGGTTTTCTTATGTTTGCAGAGTAAATTGAACATAATATCGAACAGCATTCCTTTGGATAAAGATTTTAATACTTCTTTACCAGAATATTTTGTTTCTCTGCGAAACTTGTTAGTGCCATTAGCGAAATGAGAAAAAGGAAAAAGGGCAAATAATTTCTAAGAAAATGTTCAATTAATTTATAAACGGTGAGACAATAACAAATCAATATCCCTTACTTGATCGGTAAGTAGACAGAGTAATTCAAATTTATGCTCATGATCAGACATATTTTTGTTTGACATGGGTTACTTTTATCTGGTCATTTACCTTTATAACATGCTGTGTGAGGGCTGTGATAGCTACATGTACGTGGAATTTTATGATGCAGTACACCTCTGGAAGAGAAACAATCATTGATTTATCATCCAATTAAACACAATCCCTTTATGTACTCTATGATTGAATAAATTAACTAAAGTTATTAAAATGAGAAGTAGTTGTAAAATTTTAGAATGAGCAGAACTTCAGTGCATCCTCCAAATTTACGTGACATGCCGCCGAGCATTATCTACTAGTACACTTGATAAACAGTTTTTATTTACACATAATATAAAAGCCGTGTAAGGTGTTACCACTTAAATTGTTGCGTTTTAATATAATTCATATCCGTTGATGTAAAACATTTTTGGTCCAGACACCCACATTCTTGTGATTAAAGATTGTCAAAAAACTTCAATATTACTAACTTCACTAATGGGTAGCATATCTCAATCAACGTTTGAATGAGCTGAAAATGAAACTATTCAAATCCTTCTAGACCATCTTATAATTTAGTCTAACATTGCTCTCTCAATGTGATTCCCACTACTGCTAATTATCTCACTCAAAGCAATATATACAAGAAAAATATAACACGAAAAATACCGTAATAATGAACCGATGTTCGTTTCACGTCTCTGCTTTTTGTATCTACTAGTAAAGTCTCATGATGTTGTGTCAAGTGACAATGGACTGAAAATATTCGCGTTTTGTTGTTGGTTAAATGCATTTGTTGCGACGCGTGTTGTACGCAAGGTAATGTCAATAGACACCTGAGAGTTTCGCATTAGCTGGAAATAAAAGCAGTGGAAAAACGTAGAAACTACAATTGCAGTCGGTTGTATTCTACAAAGGATAAAGAACAAATGGAGTTTCTTTTCATCAATGCTGTCGTCAGTCTGGTACCCGTATCGTCTCTGACTACAAGATTTCAATCTAAACTTTTGTATGAGGATTTGATACAGAATTTTATCAATACTTTCATTAATCACCCGATTTCTTGCAAAAAAAATGCTTTAAAATGATCATTTGTTTTTATTTTTTCTCACTCATTATTGACTGTTTAGCATTTAAATGCGGCAATTTAATTTTATATAATCCGTTTTGCTGTGAAAAATACAAATATAGATTTTCTATGAAGAAAGTACTGATTTATTTCGGTCCCAAATAAGAGCAAGAATATTATTTGCACCAAATAGGATTTGAGCGTTAAATGAACAATTGTCTAACTCTTGCTGCCTTTAGTTTCTGAAACACCTAAAATGGTAGACATCTACAAATAGAAATATGTTTATACTTGTCTAATAACTTCAAAATTCAAAATAGTACATATGACATTTATTCTCTTTACATGTGTCAATATAAAAGAAAACATTTTCAAACATTGCTTGGCAATTTTAAAAGATGCAAAATTTTTAAAATTTCCACTATCATGCAAAGCTACACATAAAAAAACATAGGCCACACTTTTTTAATTTTATGGATGACATCCTGCGCGCGCACGGATTTTCGCCCGTTCTCCAAAAAAAAAAAATCAAAAAAAGCCCCCCC